AACAATATATAATTGTCCAGAATATGTTAGGAACTTATCTGGGATTTGAATCAAGGTCATTATGAAGCCAGACCCCATATTTTTTCATGACATCTTGTGAGTTGCTTTTGTGAAAAGACTACCTAGCCATCTTGAATCCTATGAATTTCTATAACTTTTACTTTTCAAGAAGAGGACAAAGAAGAAGGAGGAAAAGGAACAAAAGAAGGACAAGGGAGATGAGATGATGAGAAGGACAAGGAGGAGAGAAAGAGAAAGGAGAAGAGAGAGTTGTGTATAAGTATATGAATATATACTATATGAAACACAGAAATAAGAGTCTAATTTAATTTTGATTTAAATGTGTCTTTGATTTTGGATTTAGGATTGAAGATTATTGGTAAATCATACCAACCCATTCATTAAAAAATTTTTCTATATAGAGTGAATTTTGTAGTGGTGTATATACATAACTGAAGGAACATTTTCCTTGAGACATCAAAAAAGACTCCAGAGGGTTCTACATTTGTAGAGATTTTATTCACTGGAAGAAGAAATAAGCCCACTCAGGCTACCAGCAAACATCAGAAAAGACTGGCACAAAGATCTGGAGGTAAAGGCTCAAAACAGAACTCTCAGAACCAAGACAGGCACCCACATATAGGCAGTGGCTGAGTTTCTGACAGTGAGAAACAAAGTAAGGACCCAGGTGCAGGAACCAAGTTGAAGGTCAAAGAGTGAAAATGGTGATGGCTGAATCACTGGATTGCAGAACTTGAGCTCATTATAGTCTCCCTAAGAAAGGGAATGAAAAAATTCACAGACTGACAAAGGACTTGGCATACTTTTATAGCTCGAAGTGTGTAGGGCAATAGATTCAAGAGCACCAAACTGGGCAAATTCCTACAGAAGTAATAATATTCACCATTGCTTATGGCTTAAGTTGATTTCACATCAGAGTCTCCTGCTATAATGTATGTTAACCCCAAATAATCTTTTAAAAGCCTAACTGAATATAATTCATCAAGATTTACAAATGGAGATTTAAGTAGAATTTTCCATATGATATGTGTAGAAATCTACACATTTTGCAGGGGTTATGTAGAAGAGAAATTATTGATTACAGTGATATAAACCTTTGTTTTTTCATGAGACTTTGCAGATGGTTTCCCTTCTATTTTTAACATTGTAGTTTTTATGAGCCATCTCAAGATGATATTTCTCTTCAGATTGTCTTTGAGTTTTGCTTTCAAAAGTGGCCCCAAACCTCTGTTTTTACCTATCTATTAAAAAGGCTTTTTGTTTTATTAAAAGCTTATAAAAGCTATCAGTGTTGCTCAAAAATGAAGATAAGTATTATTCTTATTACTAAACAAAATAGAAAGAAATGTCAGCCATAATGTTAGTGGCATTATCTGAATTTGTGATTATTGGAATGGATTTTCCCAGGGGAGTCTTTGTAATCTGTACAATGGACTATGCCCTAAATTGGGAAAAATTGAAATCATTCCCTCTTCAAACCAGAACTAGACAAGGATGCCCACTATCTCCTCTCCTATTCAACATGGTGCTCGAAGTCCTAGCTATAGCAATCAGGCAAGAGAGGGATATTAAGGGCATCCAAGTGGGAGCAGATGGGATCAAGCTCTCACTCTTCACCGATTATATGATATTATACCTGGAAAACCCCATGGATTCATCCAAGAGACTCCTAGATCTGATAAATGAATTCGGCAAAGTTTCAGGTTATAAAATCAATATACACAAATCAGAAGCATTCATATATGCCAAGAACCATCAAGCAGAAACTCAAATCAAAAACACAATACCCTTTACTATAGCCCAAAAGAAAATTAAACATCTAGGAGTATACTTAACAAGGGATACGAAAGATTTATATAAGGACAACTATGAAACACTAAAAAAAGAAATTGCAGAAGATTTAAACAGATGGAAAAACCTACCTTGTTTGGGATTGGTAGAATCAATACTGTTAAAATGTCAATATTACCTACGGTGACCTACAGAATCAATGCAATCCCCATCAAAATATCACCAGCATTCTTTACAGATCTAGAAAAAATAATTCTTTACTTTGTATGGAACCAGAGAAAACCACGTATAGCCAAAGCAATCTTAAGTAAAAAGAACAAACTGGGAGTCATCAGTCTTCCTGACTTCAAGCTGTGCTATAAAGCAATAATACTTAAATCAGCATGGTACTAGCACAAGAACAGAACCATTGATATCTGTAATAGATCTGAGATACCAGAGATGAAACCATCAGTATACGATAACCTAATCTTTGATAAAACAGACAAAAATATACAATGGGGGAAAGAATCTCTCTTCAATAAATGGTGCTGGCAAAACTGGTTAGCTACATGTAGAAGAGCAAATCAGGATCTCAACCTCTCACCTCTCACAAAAATTCATTCAAGAAGGATAACAGACTTAAACCTAAGGCATGAAACCTTAAGAATCCTAGAAGAAGATGTAGGGAAAACCGTATCAGATATTGGTCTAGGCAAATAATTTTTGAGGAAGACCCTCAAGACAATCACTGCTGCATCAAAAATAAACAAATGGGATCTGATCAAATTAAAAAGTTTCTGCACAGCCAAGGAAACTATCATTAGAGCAAATAGACAACCCACAGAGTGGGAGAAAATATTCACTCTCTATATTTCTGATAAAGGTCTAATAACAAGAATCTATCTAGAACTTAAAAAATAAACAGAAAAAATCAAACAACCCATCAAGAAATGGCAATGGAAATGAATAGAAACTTCTCCAAAGAAGACAGAATAATGGCCTACAAACATATTAAAAAATGCTCAACATCTCTAATCATCAGAGAAATGTAAATCAAAACCACAATGAGATATCACCTATCCCCAGTGAGAATGGCCTGTATCAAGAAATCCCAAAACAACAAATCCTGGTGAGGATGCGGAGAGACAGAACACTCTTACACTGCTGGTGGGACTGCAAATTAGTGCAACCTTTGTGGAAAAGAATTTGGAGATACCTCAAACAGCTAAAAATAGAAATATCATTCGACCCAGCAATAGCATTGTTGGGCATCTACCCAAAAGAACATAAGACATTCTATAATAAAGACATCTGCACCTGAATGTTTATGGCAGCACAATTCACTATTGCATAGTCATGGAAACAACCCAAGTGCCCGTCAATTAATGAGTCGATAACTAAAATTTGGTATATGCTCACAATGGAATATTACTCAATTCTTAGAAACGACAGTGAGCTAGCACCATTTATGCTATCTTAGATTAAGCTAAAGCTACCGTTGTACAAAATGAGGCGACATAAGATCTGGAAAATGGACCACACATCTACTCGCCATCAAATTGGTACTGACTGATTAAAACTATGGTGCTCAAATAGTGGTAGTGTTCACCAGGGATTCCAGGGGGGAGACCTACATCTTAAGGATGTGGCAAGCTTGTGGGGGAGAAGGGATTACCTCAAACCCTTTTTAGGGAGAGGCCAAGATACACAATGTAACCAGAATGTCAAACAAACAACAACAAAATATTGTTATCAGGAGGTGGGCAGGTGGGAGGGGGCAGGAGGGGAAGAGCGTATACTTACATAATGGGTGGGGTGGGCACCACCTGGGGGTTGGACATGCTTGAAGCTCTGGCATGGCAGGGTGGGAAGGGGTGGCAGGGGCAATATATGTAACCCTAACAATATTTGTACCCTCATAATATGGGTAAATAAAAGGAAAAAAGACATTAATTGGACTTGAGCAGATTTGATTACACTCTCTAGTTCATTAAAGAGTTATTCAAAATACAACTTGGAGCTTTGTGAGACTTTAAAATAGTCTCTGTATCATAATGTCACCAACACAAAACTCCAGATATTTTTTTTTTCTTGAGGCAGAGTCTCTCTCTGTTGCTGAGGCTAGAGTGCCGTGGCATCAGCCTAGCTCACAGCAACCTCAAACTCCTGGGCTCAAGCAAACCTTCTGCCTCAGCCTCCCGAGTATCTGGGACTACAGGCATGCACCACCATACCTGGCTGATTTTTTCTATGTATTTTTAGTTGGCCAATTAATTTCTTTCTATTTTTAGTAGAGACTGGTCTCCCTCATGCTCAGGCTGGTTTCGAACTCCTGACCTAGAGTGATCCTCCTTCCTTGGCCTCCCAGAGTGCTAGGATTACAGGCGTGAGCCACCATGCCTGGCCCAAACTCCAGATCCTGAAAGAACCTTAGCCTGACTCTGTTTCCTACAAATGACCAAAGTCAGGATAAATAATTAACTTTGAAAGTCTTTATCTAGGATCATAATTTGTCTTCTGAATATATCAAGTGCTTTGTCCAAAATGCAATGGGCGATAAAAAATGATTTTTTTTTCAGACATGCCAGAGGAGTAAATACATTGTGAAATCTGCCCCTACTTCATTTTTTTTCATTTTCTTTCTTCTTTTTTTTTTTTTTAAAGACCTTGAAGAAGTTTAGTCATATGCCTCTGGAAGTTCTCCAGCACCCTTGTAAAAGGAAATGACAGGCATCTAGAATAATTTCTCCCTAAAGAATAGGAAAAACTATTTCTTTAGTGTCACCAAGTAAGATGTTCACTCTTCACAAATTCAGATGTTGTCAACAGAAGGCAATCTTGTTATTTCCATATAACCCTTCTGAAATAAACCATATTTTCTTTTCTATACCTAGTAGAAAATTATCTGAAAAATTTTACATTGTCTAGCAGTGATTATATTCTTTTTTACATTGGATCTTGAAAGGTTAAGGTAATTATGGGAAAGAATATATTTATTTACCCTTGAATTTCAGATGTGTTTATGATTTCTGAGTGAATGTTATAAGAAAGGTATTAAGTGAAATAAATTTTTATTGTTAAGGATGCTTTTTTGGTATGCTTGTGTATTTTTTAACAAATTCTTTTTGTTTTACATATATGGATATTTGACACTCTTCTTCTGGAATCATTCAATGTATCATTTCATTTTGTATCTCTCCTTTTCTAGATATTTGAAAGTAACACTTATAATGGAATGACAGTTATGCTCTACTGTGTGCCAGCCATCATTAAGGTATTTTCCCACACATCTAATTCTTTTTATGACAATAACCTTTGAAAAGGAGAGTAGGCTCATGCATATTAAAAAATTCCGTGAATTGCTAAATTGTTAAAGGACATTCAATTTTCATATCCTACCTTGGAATGTAAAAGCCGGCTCCTTTTATTAGAAAGTATCTCCAATTGTATAGCTTCTATGTATGTTTAGATATTTGCTACAGAATCAAACAGCTGATTTTGAAGGCTTTAAAAAATTTTATTAACACATAATAATTGTGCCCATTTGTGGGGCACATGTGATATTTTGATACATGCATACAGTGTGTAATGATTAGATCAGGGTAATTATGATATCCATCACCTCAAACATTTATCATTCTTTTGTGTTGAGAACATTTCAAATCTTCTAGTTATTTTGAAATATACATGAAATATACATATTCAAAATATATTTTGAAATAATTTATTTACTATAGTCACAGTACTGTGCTATCAAATACTACAACTTCTTCCTTCTAACTGCATTTATGTGCCCATTAATCATCCTCTCTTCATTCCCCCTCCCACTCCACCCACACAACCTTCCCAACCTCTATCCTATTTTCTACTTCCATGAGATAGACTTTTTTTAGCTCCCATACATGTATATGAGAATATGCGATATTTGTCTTTCTGTGCTTGGCTTATTTCACTTAGTATAATGACCTCCAGTTCCATCTATGTTGTTGCACATGACAGGATTTCATTATTTCTTATGACTGAATAGTATTCCATTATGTATATATGCCACATTTTCTATATTCATTCATCTGTTGATGGATACTTTGATTCCATATCTTGGCTATTGTTAATAGTGCTTCATTAAATATGGGGGTGTGTGATATTGTAATGTATTCGTTTTTGGTTCATTTGTGGTCAGAAAGTAATACTCAAACTCCTTTGAAAGTTGAGATAGGTGATCATGCACCACCTGGGAGAAAGAAGGCTTTGGCTCAGTCTCTTTCAAAATCTTGGCTAGTGTTTGGAGCCTGTCAAAAATCTCAATGTCCACTCATCATTCCCATAATTCTAGTTTGGCTTTGGACATAGCCATTTTGTCTGCTGACTCGAACAGAGTTGTCATTTTCTGCTGAAGTGACAGATTGAGCAGGTTGAATATGTCATACAAGTAAGCAAGTTTTGTGACCCATTCTGTGTAATGAAATGGGCTACCAGTGGTGACTGTCTTTCAAAAAAAAAAAAAAAAATCTTTGAAGTGGCTTTCATAACTTAAAAACTCTGGCCAGTGATCTACCTTTAGAAAGCCATCTCACTTCTGTGTATAAGATAAGACGTGTGTGCTCTGCATACATCTCCTCACAGATTTGTACAAACAGAAGTGAGTTAATGGCATGTACTTCAATATGGTTGATAATTTTAACCACATCTTGCAAAAAGTTGTTTCATTCAAGTGACATTTTTTGGATAGCCAGAATTTCTCTATGGATGACACAGTGCATAGAATAACCTTCAGAAGCTACCTCCTTGACCTGAGTAGTGAAACCAGAAAGCTGTCCAGTCGTGGCAGCTGCTCCATCTGTGCATATAGTGACACAATATGATCTCAGTTTTCCTGATGTGTAATCATTCAAAGACTTGAATAGTTCTGCAGTGGTGGTGTTGGTTGACAACAAAATTGCACATAATATATCCTCATGCACATCCCCCTGAAAACTATATCATACAAAAACAAGCATTGTTGCTTTGTTGTCAACATTGGTGGACCTGTCGACCTGGATTACATACCATAGTGATTCATTAATCCTCTCTAACAGTTGTGCCATGATATCCTCTGCTATTTCATCAATTTGTCTAGTTATGGTGCTAGTTGAAAGAGGAACACATGCCACATTTTGAACTGCAGACTCTCCTAAAAGTTCACAGCAAATGTCCTTAGCTGCAGGCAAGATCAACTCTTCTCCAATAGTAAACGGTTTCTTAACTTTAGCAATGCAGTTACCCACTAAGAATGATGCTCTCAGTACAGACACATTTGATGAGTGTGTTTTTTTGTGTTCACTTTTTTTTTTCTTTGAAAATCTCCAAAGGCTTGTCTTTTAATGCAGGGGGCTTGGTCTCCATGTGGTGAAGCAGTTTTGAAGATTTCATGGCTTCATTGGGTAATTGGTCACCATATAATATACAAAGCAGGCTTGGAGAATGTGATTCACCTGTTGCAATGAACCCATAATTTAAGTAGGACTCTTAGTATTTTCTTTTAAATGCAGATTTCGTTTTGTTGGCAGTGTTAGAGTCTTCTGCTGTCTCATCATTGGGTCTTTCCCCTTTTCAAAGAAGCTTTCCAGTGATGTTTGCATTTTACTCATTTTTGCTAGTGTCAGCTTGTGGGCTTACCAAAACTATGACTGAGACGTGTACACAGTGTGGGAAAGAGGCACAGATGGAAGTGGTAAATAAAATAATGAGCAGGCCATGCACGGACTACAATAAGTGTTGGATTCTGACATAAATCCTGCCACCAGATGCAACGTTACAATTGAAGTAAGATGCACACTTGCAACTATAAAACCTGCCACCAGATGCAGCTTAATTGTCACTTGCCACTCACTGATAGGCTTTTGATATAAGTCTGCAAACAACTGATTTATTATAGTGTCTGTGCAGTCAAACTGCTCTGCTAATGATAACTTGTATTTGCAGCCACTTTCTAGTGCTAGCACCACTGCCTCAGCTCCACATCAGATCATCAGGCATTAGAGTCTCATAAGGAAAGCACAATCTAAATCCCTCTCATACACAGTTTACAGTAGGGTTCTATCTCCTATGAGAATCTAATGTTGCCACTGATCTTAGAGGAGGTGGAGCTCAGGAGGTGATGTAAGTGATGGGGAGTGGCTGTAAACACAGATGAAGCTTTGTTAATTAACCCACTGCTCACCTCTTGCCGTGCAGCCTGGTTCCTAACAGACCATGGACTGCTATTAGTCCATGGCCCAGGGGTTGGGGGCTGCAGCTTTAACATATCCATTATGATAAACTGGTAAATATGTTGCCTTGAGTCTCGTGAGCCACTCTAGCAAATTAATTGTACTAAAAGAAGGAGCAATGGGGAATTGGTCAGAAGTTGAAGCCAGTGGTCTGAGGTTCTGGGGGCTACAAGTATGTGAAGCAGGGCAGTCTAAGGGACTAAGCCCTCAACTTGTGGGATCCGATGCTATCTCTGGGTAGATAGTGTTGGGATTGAATTGGAGACACCAAGCTGGTATTTGATGCAGAATTAATTGTTTACTTGCTGGTGGGGAGAAGTCCGCACATATTTTGGGCTCACAGAAGTATTTTGTGTTGATCATTGTGGTGTTAAAAGAAGAGGAAAAACACAGTTTGAGTTTTTCCTGAATAGGGTGCAGTTATCCCCTTTATGTATTGCTTTCTTTTACTTTGGATAAATGCTCAATAGTGGGACTGCTGAGGTATGGTAGTTCTATTTTTAGTCTTTTATAAAACCTACCTACTTTTATACATAATGGCTGTACTAATTTACATTCTCACCAATAACTGAGTGAAGAGACCACCTGTAGAATGGGAGAAAATATCTGCAAATTGTTCATCCAACAAGGGAATAATATCCAGAATATATAAGGAACTTAAACAACTCAACTGCAAAACAACAAGTAATCCCATTAAAAAGTGGACAAAGGATCCGAATAGATATTTCTCAAAAAAGGATGTACAAATGACCAAAAAGTATATGATTTTGAAATCTAAGTTGATTGTGGAATGTTTCTTTAGTACCTCATGCTTGTGGTGTGACATTTAGTTGATTTGATATTACTCAAGTTTATCATTTTTGTTTGCTTTTCTTTTTTTTTTTTGGCTTTGCAAAAAATAATGTTAAAATTAATGAATTCACTGAAAAAAATTATCCCAAACTATCAAACAGGTTATCTAGAATCAGACGGATCATACAACTAGTTGTTTTACATCTTATTGACCTTGTTGTTTTTCCTGTTTTGTTCTTATTTTTTCTTGAACAGTTATGCTGTTGGGTCAATTATAGCCATGTGTTAAAACCTTACAGAGAGATGGTTAAAAGAGTGGTCAGCAATTTAAAATGAAGAGTGTGGAGGAGAAAGGTGAAAATATTTACTTAATATATTGCAAAATAATAAGAGAAAGGATACAGCATCTAATTTCTTTGGCTTTCAGTTAGGTTCATGTGAAGAGAATTATTCTCATCTACTCTCTACAATGGAAAAACTTTGCTTTAATGACAATTTCTTTACCAATTGTCACACATGAAGTAAACATAATTTTGTAGAAATGTATAACAAGTGCTCCTTCCAGGGAAAGACATTGTGTCATTAGTTTCAAGAAATGAATAGAAATATATTCCATATCATATTCTGTTATGGATACTAATAGCATTTTGGAATAATGAAGGTATTCCACCTGGCAAGTATTAGAGGTTGAAGGCAAGGCAAATCTTAACACAAACATCTTCTTGACAATATAATTGCAAAGTGCTCAGTGGCTTGTAGGTTACCTTGTAATTTTCTATTACTGTATCCATCAGATTTTGATATGGTTTTCCCTTTCTTTCATGCAGGACCACAACCCGCACTACTCTCCAGTGTTATAAGGTCAGTGGATCTATTGGCATGAAATCCTACGTAATATTACTCAGACCAAGGGCTCTACTTTATTGAAAGAACATGTAGGGATTACCACATACCTATGGAATCCACTAGTCCTGTGGTGTACTACACCACCCAGAGACTATGCTAACATTTCAATAATATGTTTAAGGTACAGTGGAAGCATCAGCTTGAAGAGAATACTATGTGATATTGAGAAGCTGTGGTAGGAAAAGCCTTAAGTTAGCCTCCATGATCCTTACCTTGCATTGTTCAAGACCTACATAATCCAAGGGTTTGTGAATATGATGGCTTTTATTCTCACGATTATGTTACCTTGTATTGAAAAAGAAATGTCAAATATATCATTGAAATTCCAAATCATTTGACATTAAATTAAGGAGACCTATCCACATGGGCTTGACTATTACATTAACCCTACAAATCTGAGTCTACAGGTCAGAAACAGCCAGAGATTTAAAGCATGAGAAGGATTTGGTGTGCCAATTATTGGCTTTAAGATAAAAAGGACCACATGACAAGGAAAATACAATGTCTTTAGGAGCTGAGAGTGGCCCCAAGTAAAAGCAAGCAAGGAAACGCAAACCAAATTCTACTACTACCAGGAAATTAATTCTGCCAATAGCAAGAGTCAGCTTAAAAGTACACTCTTTCCTAGAGCTTCCAGATGAGAACCTACCCTGATCGACATCTGAATTTCAGCTTTGTGATACCCTGATTATAGAGCACATGATGCCACTCTTCTAACCTAAAAAACTGTGAGCTAATAAATGAATGGTATTTTAAGCTGCTGTGCTTGTGGTAATTTATTATATAATGAGAGAAAATTAATACTGATTTTGGAACCTGCAAATGGAGTGCTGCCTTAACACATACCTAAAATAAGGAAGTAGCTTTGGCATCAGGCAGTGAGTGAAGCTTGAATAACATGATAGAAAAAGTTTAGATTACCTTGAACAAATTATTAGTAGTATTATAGACATGGAAGGCTGCCCTGGAGGGCTCAGAAGGAAGTGAATGGCATGCTATTACAATTAGGAGGAAGGGAGATTTTTCATGTGTAGTTGCTGAGCGCTTAGCAAAGTTGTCTTATAGTTGTGTGGAAAGCAAAATGTGTAAACAATTAACTCGGATATAAAGGTGAGGAGACACCCAAGTGAAGTTAAGTGTTCCTGATATGCCCTGATTTCTTCTTGGTGCTTACAGTAAAGCCAGAAAAGAAAGATAAATTGAGGAAAAAACTTGCAACCAAAAACGAACTTGGACTTGATGACTTACATATTCTTAACTTATTCAAATGGCAAAAGCTACTAAAATGAAGTGAACACTTATGAAAATGTGGCATAGAGAAAAAGAAGAGAGTGTGGTGGTAAGTCCTCAGGCTAAAACCTAAGAATGATCAAAAGGTCAGAAAATGGTGTCATACAACTGGCTCTTTCGGTAAGAGTGTGCTTAGAGAACCACCAGAAAGCTTTGGGCCTCAGCCAGCTCAACAGGAGCCAAAAATCAGGAAGGAATTATCTCAGAAAGATTTGTGGGTGTCTTGTATGATGTAATGAAATCCAGTACAATTCCTGCAAGGTCACAGGTTCTTGAGAAATCCATATCAGCAGGAATACTGCCAGTTTGGACTAAGAGACCCAGAGCATGGCCGGAAGCAGGCTGGTAAAACTACTGTGCTGCAAACATGTGCTATAATTTGTCTCTTAGTCTCACAAGTCCAAAATGGAGGGAAATTTTGTCCCACGAGTTGTGTTTAATGGATTACACCCAGTAGCCACATCCAAACCTGAGTTAGAGGATATTGATGAGATATGGAATGTTGAGCTGATGGATGGAGAGACCCTTGGGAACCTTAGGAGAGGGTGGATGTGTTTTGCTTTAGAAAAGGACATGAATCATTGAGGCTAGAGGGTAGGCTGTTGTAGGCTAAATTCTAAGATAGCCCCAAGATTCTGTCCCTTGATTGTACATATCCTGCATAACTCCCAGTCTGTGACGATGATGAATTTCACTCCCATGGTTATGTTACATGGCTCTAGGGTAGCTAATGGAAGCTAGTTCTTTTCTTATCCTGTTGCAGTACAGCAGCCCTCTGATCCCAGCCCAAATTGAGTGGCTGCTATCATAGTGATCTAATCCATTGTTCTGATTACCCCAGTCCACAGTCATCTCTGTGTATCCCAGGGGGCTGGTTTCATGACAGCTGTGGGTGCTTCAATTCATGTAGTGTTCTATGTCCTTGCTCTGAGCCTTTTCATATAAGCCCAGAGAAGAAACAAAAGGATCTGGACTAAAAAGAGAGAAGTAGTCCTTTGTAACTGTGACATCTCTGTTTTTACACAGTTTAAGGTTTTTGAAATGCTAGAAGTATGCTTCTGATTATATTTCACTTCAATGTGGGTCTTGGCAGGGGCAGAGTCCAGCTTTCTCAGAGGTGAGATGCAGGACTGGCTCAGAAGAAGAATCCACAGCTTTTTATTAGATGGCATTCCCTGATATTCCTATTGAAAATGGATTTTTTTCTTAATTCTTATATGTTATACTTCTGATTTCAGCCTCTGTTCTTGTTCAGTTTATGCTTTTAGATGCTTAATAATACCTCATGAATTCCTAATCTTGCCTTATCTTCAGTGAAATTAGGATGTGTACTTCCCTGCTTTCTGGAAGAAAATGAAGTTTAAAAAAGAGAGTCAGACTTGATATGTTACTGTCTTCACCTTCCTTGCCTCAAAAGGATATTTTGAGGAAGGACAGTTAAAGCCAAATTAGTTGGGATAAGAATGATTGGCTGTAGAATGATATGATAGTGTCACCAGCTGTTGATGTGAACACTTAGGTTCTTGTCTCTTCAGGATCGAAGACTGAAAGTGAGGGAAACAAAAGCTTAAATCAGCGAGCAAAGAAGTTTATTAGTAACCAATAGTACACATCCAAGAGGGTAGGAGTGGGCACACATTCAAACGAACAGTGGCCTTGGGGTTTTCATGTCACTTATTTTTCTTTCATCTTGCCTCTCCTTCCTGTTGCTGTCCCTTTCCATTGGGGATGTTATCTCTTTCCTGCCATGGGGTGGGGGAGTTTTTCACCTTGTATGGTTAGGACCAGATGTATTGTGGTGTCCAAAGCCCACTGGGAGAAGGGGGAACAGTAATGTCATATAATGTGCCCTATTATGTTTCTTGTGACACTTGTGGTTACCCTTTTATCCTTATTTTGTTATTGTTGCGGTATCTTCTCTTACTCAGCATCCCGTTTGTTTTTATATTTGCTCACATCTCACTTTCCTCCTTATGCAACAAATAGGAAAAGCAACCTTGGTAGGGGTGCATTTAGGCAGGGTAGTTTTTATCAACAGGGTTATAAAGAGCAGTCCTGAAAAAGAAATCACAGTGAGAAACAGGTAACCTGCAGGGTGTATGATGGAGAGGAACCAAGTTATCTGCTGCTTAGAGAATTGTGTCCTTGTGAAATGAGATGACAGTCACTCCCTTCTCCCCTCTAAGTATCTATTGCTTTCCTTAGTCACCATATCTAGCCATATGTGTCCCAAAGGAGAGCAAGACCATTCTTCTCCCAAGTCATGGGTTCCTCAACAGTCAGCATTCTAAAGGCAGCTCTGACTTGAGAAGGGCATTCATTTGAGAGAGTGTACAATGGATGAGAACATTAACTCCTTCCTCCTCTAGCTTGGTTCAGAGTTTATGTTGCATGATCAAAGATTACCAATTACCTCTCTGTCTTAAACACATGCACACAGATACGCTAATATGGGTTCTCACACTTTAACAGCATGGAAAACTTGCTGAAGATAGACAATATATCTTTCTTAAAATATAGAATTCTAGGTTAGAGTTCCCTCCCTTATTTCTGTCTATAAACAGAAGAGAGTGACAGCCAATATATTTGGCAATGAGTAATTATTCCACCCATCATCACTTTTCCTTAGAAGGCAGAAGTCATAGTCATATTTTATCCTAAAGAATATTTTATTTCCCTAATATACTAACATTAAATGTCTTTTTGGATCTTTATTCTGCAACAAATGATATGTTATATGTCAAATGAAAATTTTGATGAGCAGCATTTCTGTGTTATTCATTCACATGACTTACAGAAAATCAAAAATATTTTCAATAAGGTAAAATATACCATTAAAAGTTTTCTTTTAATTTCTAGTGAAATTCAGTTGCATTACATTTATAGTGTTATATGTCTAACCTAAAAGCCCAGTAAACCTTTGAAATAAATGAAATGCAATTACATAGGTACACAGAGAAGTAATTTTAGAATTATACATAAATCTGTATTAAGGAAAACATGGTCATTTCACTGTAGAAGCAAATAAACAGTAAGTACTTAAAAATTAGGGAAACAATTACTACTCTTTTAATTACTTAAAGGGAGTTTCCCTAAAGAGTAAGAATTTAAAATTTAACAAGACATCTGGAACAGAGAGAGAGAATGCTGAACAATGTAGGAAGGCCATTTTGGCCATGAGATACCACTTTAAGAAAGCTTTTGTGATGACCATGAGATGAATATGCAAGAAAACAAAAAGGTGCCATGTACTTGATGAAGGAAATTACAGAAATCGGAATATAAGAGACTAAGACACATAGACTGTAGCCTATTTTGTGTGTGTGTGTGTGTGTGTGTGTGTGTGTATGTGTGTGTGAAAGAGAGAGAGACAGAGAGACAGAGAGACAGAGAGAGACAGAGAGAGACAGAGAGAGAGAGAGAGAGAAAGTCTGTGAATCTCAGGGTAAGATCCGTGACCTCTAGGCTCTTAAAATCTTTTTGGAGTACAAAACGCCTATGAAGGAAAACATGAATATGTAATTCCAAAGTTCAAGGCAGCATATATAATTCAGAAAAGCTTTGTGACTAACCTAAAATTTCACTAATCTCCCCCTTATTTTGTGCTTCCCAGCACTTACATACAGTTTATATTAACTTTAAATAGATTATGTAGATTACAGCATTTATTTGCTTCCTTAACTAGATGACAAATGTCTCAGAGCATTCAACTCCTTCTGAAAAGAAAAAGGGCCAGTTGAGACAAGGAGATTCCTATAAAGATGAACACACACAAAATAAATTGAATTGGAGACAGGAGGTTAAGGTTGAAATCAGAAACACACACACGCACAAACACACACACACACACACACAGAGGCATGCACACAAGCCAGTTTGATCATGAGAAATAAGAAAAAGAAGAAATAAAAGTGGAAACATTCAGACATGCAGACTGGATGTACCAGAGTCCTTAGCTCAAAGCATGTTTGCCAAATATAATTTTGGAGATATTCACATACAAGGTAATATGAAAATCAAATATGTTAATGATTCCTTTGAAGTTTGAAAATATTTGTTTCAATTGTCCCAGTTCCTTGGGTACCCAATAACCTGAGGTAATGTAAAAATGTACCACAATGCCGTTAAATTTCTTAGTGTTTAAATGAAAGTACCCTCTACTGAAATAAACAATATATCTACATAATTATTAGTTTCTTTCAAGAAGAGCTTATTGGATAAGATCTGTCATAAGTGTCGGGCAAGCCCAACTCTTAGTGTATTAAGATAAAAAATCTAACTATACAAAGAATGTCAGATTGAAATGGCTGTGAATAGATATCTATCTTTTAAAAAGAAAAGCCTTATAGAACACTTACTATGCAAACATCTTACTTTTATAAGGATAATTATTACTGAAATAGATCATATTAAATTAACTCATTTCAAGCAGGACAATATGTTTAACATTATGTGGTTAAGATGGGATCT